ATACTGGCAAAAAAGACAATCTATTTATTTAGAATAAAGGAAATGTGAACTTTTCTATATACAAAAAGAAACCTTTCTCTAGGTAACACATGTAAGTATAAGTAAATATAAAAAATAAAATAATCTGAAAAAGCATTCAGGACATAGGAATAATCTTATTTAGAGATACCTCTTGAATCATCATGAGAAATCCAGCAGCTGCCAAGGAAATTGCAGATTTAATTTTCCTACATAAACTAATTGAAATATTTATATGAAAAATTATATGATTGGAAGGTCAATGGGCAAATGATAAATTAGGAATAAATATTTATAGCACATATCAGTTAAAATGGTGATATCCAGTCTTCAAGGAGGCATTGCAAATTAATAAGGAAAAAAATTCATTAGAGATGAGCAAGTCCATTTGGTAAATAAATACATGAATGCCTTCTCAAATTCCTTTGCTAGGGAAATGCTAATAAAAGTAACAATGGGTTATTATTTCTCGCTGTATAAGGTGATACAGTATATTTTTACACATTGTTTTGGAAAAGGTACTGTCTTTTGAATCAATCTGGCAATATATTTTAAAATCAAACTGAAGATCTTACTCTTTGAACCAATAATCACACTCTTGGGAGTCTTATTGATAGAAAGAAAAGATACATGGATGAAGTTTTTTTTATTAAAGAATAGTTTGTAGTGGCAAAAGCTGGAGAACAATGGGTAAATTGAATTAACTATGGTATGATCAACAAACTATTGCATAGTTATATGAACAACAGATTATTTGGAGGCATTTTATATGTGATAACAACAATAAGAGCATATATAATAAGATTCATTTTTGTGGGGAAAAAAGCCAGAATCGTGGATGTGTGTATGTGCATGTGTGTGTGTGATCATATGAGCATGGAGAAAGGTACAGAATCCATACCTGATTTTCGGGAAATATAGGTGGAGAGAGAGGAATGGAAACATGGGAAAAATGGGAAATAGAAAAGTTGCTCATGATTTTGAAAAATAAGAAAGCATTTTTAGGCTGGGCACAGTGGCTCATGCCTGTAATCCCAGCACTTTAGGAGGCCAAGGCAGGTGGATCGTCTGAGGTGATGGAATTTGTGTTCGAGGAGTTCAAGACCAGTATGAACAACATGGTGAAATGCCGTCTCTACTAGAAATACAAAAATTACCTGGGCATGGTGGCACTAATCTCAGCTACTCGGGAGGCTGAGGCAAAAGAATCACTTGAACCCGGGAGGCGGAGGTTGCAGTGAGCTGAGATCGCGTCATTGCACTCCAGCCTGGGCAACAAGAGCGAAACTCCATCTCAAAAAAAAAAAAAAAAAAAAAAAAAAGGATTTTTAATATGTATTTCAAGTCACTTAAGAGCATGTATATGCAGGTGTGTGTTTTGTGTCTCTAGTGAGATAAATGAAAATAGACATACCTGCATTATTTTGAAAAACTGAATTAAACTTTCTTTTCCAGCTCCATACCCTGCTTCCATTCATACACAGAGAAATAAACAATACCAATATAATTAAAGTGTAGTCTCCACTTGACACCCCATTGAACTTTTTATTATTTCCATTTTATCTAAATACATCAAGATGCTTTAACAATATACCTCTTCTGCGCCCTTAAGTGGAGAAAGGAAATCTTAAATTAGATTTTACATTTTAGTAAATGTAAATACACGATTTCTTGTTCATGGACCATCTAGAACTTTGGAAATCTTAGATGTATTTCTGAGTATTATACATTTTCACTTATAAAAAAGTATAAGTTTGCTTAATCTCCAAAATAAGAGTTTTTGCATGAGTTTATTATACTCTGTACATATTAAAATATTATGACATATGAGTAATTTTCTTGTGTTAAAATTAAATTTTATTTTTTATTTGCATGCAAATACATTTATAGAGACTATAGTTTAATATGAGCAGGACTTTTATTATAATTAATTAACAGCGAATTTCACTTTAAGAACCTTAATCCTTTCAGCTAAATGGGGTTAGTTATTTTATTTATTTTTTAGCAGCTATGTGCAGTTCCAAGGTTTATAAGACTAGGCTTTTAAATCTTCTGTTCTATTTTTTAAATCTACAAGTTTGATGTTGGAAAGTCCCATTAACAACAAACAAAACTATCCATATGTATTCAAAACAAAATAGTTTGAAAAGTTTATGATAAGTTAAGAGTTAATTTGACAAATGAAGGTTTGGTTTCATTGATATGTGACCTTGAAGTTGCACAGGGTCCCTCACTGTCAAAAGAACCCTGTGCTTGGTTTAATGTTCTGCTCCTGCCGTCTTGAAACTCTTAATAATTTTATCTTTGAACTGATGTTTTGTAAGTGAAGTCCACTGGGACAATAGGATGTGAACATGAGCAGCAGAGCTGCAGGATGGCAGCAGCACACACACAGATTCAAGCCTGTAGGCACAGGAGACATGCAATTGGCCTAGCAGCAAGGCAGCATATGCATGACTCAGCAGTCTGGATGCTATGTGTCGCTGATGTGGCCGAACCAGGACTAGGCCCAGATTAGGAGTGACTATCTGTAGCAGCAGGAGAAGCAGCAGCAACAAAGGCAGTCGTGGGAGATGAAAGTGGCTACCCATGCAGGCAGGGAGAACACCCATGGTAAGTAGACAGCTCGCTCATCAGTCCCAAGGGACTATCCCTGTAGTATCTATTTTAATTTTCAATCTCCCACCTAAATTCCAAGACAATACCCATGGCACTCAGGCAGTAAACCTTGTAAATAAATTATTACAAAATAAATGTTACACATGGGCAGAGCAGTAAGCACTTTAGAAAGTCATTACAATTCTTCAGCGTTTACAGTGTCCAGTTTTGAAAGCTGCTGCAAAATTGCACAGCAGATGTCCGTAAACTTAGAAATACAAATTAAATTGAAGGCTCGCATTTGATGGAAAATAACACTATTTTTATATGAAGTTTTAAATTAAACCAATTATTAACAAGGAAGATAATTTTTTAAATTAAACTTTCTTTGTAACTAAAAATATAGCAATACAATATATAAACAGGCATTTTGAATTATATGCAAATCTTGAAACTACTTTCAGTTTTTTGCACAGCCTTGACAAGTTACAGGAAATATCAGAAGAAACACTAAAACATCGTTGCATACATTTAAATTTAACACTCAATTCAATAAAAGGCAGTATATGTGACCCTTGTGATGGAATTGTTCTATGTCTTTACTGTTGTAATAAATACATGAACCTACACATGTGACAAAATTGCATAGAAATAAATATACACACACATATAGGCACACAAATTAGTACACTTAAATTAGTGAGCTATAAATGAGATGAGTACATTATACCAATGTCAATTTCCTGGCTATGAAACTATACTATAGTTTGCAGCATGTTACCTCTGGGGAAACTGAGAGAAGAGTACATAGAATCTCTCTATATTATTTCTTATAACTTACATGTAAATCTATAATTACCTAAAAGTAAAAAATTTAATTAAAAAAATAAATTCAGATGTAAAAACTGAATTCTATGTGAAATTGGTATGAAACTGATTGGCATGATGAGTTAAATATTTATTGAAAAGTTGTTCTATGAAAATCATCAGCTCCAAATGTACTCAAATATATATTTTTAAATAAATTATCAGAAGTTGACCCTAATCTCACAGCCTATAAAATACCCCTAATAGGTTTAATAACATTTGAATTAATAGAAAGATCATTTTTAAATTTAAAAATACTTAAAATTATTTGTAATCTTGCAATAGCCAAGAGCAACTGATGTAATTGTCAATGAAATCACTGAAAATGAAGTTGATAATTATATAAATTTTGATAATCTAAGAAATGAATTTCAGAAAAGCCAGAAAAATTTTATGATCAAAATATCACATTAATACAGTATTATTTATTATATTACATGTAATTATGACATTAAAATATTAATTTTTAAAATTTGTAAATTTATATTGTTACTCATTTATCACTGTTATCACATTAGGTTTTATAAATAATAAAATAGTTTTAAAGGAAAAATCTTTATGTTTTATTATATTTAACAACATTTTTTTTCCTGCACTTTGAAATAGACCCCCCTCATTTTCATTTTGCTCTGGCTCTTACAAATTGTGTAATACTTGAATTAGGGAGTTCAATAAAATTTATCCAAAAAATAATTTAAATTTTAACAAAAGTTAGATAAGATACATTGAACAGCATTTTTAAAAAATTGAGCTTGCAATTGTTTTGAAATGACGTCAGAAGTTACAACTAATAAGTAATCTCAGAAGTCAGCATTTCCTATTTTTTTTTCCCCAGGACATAAGCCAAGATGTTCTTTTGCCTATTTCATTTTATTATTTTATAAAAAACCAACAAGATTCAGCCGTCTTCAATCCTGACACAAATTACAATGTATGTCACTTTGAGTGAGGGCTTCAAGGAAGTCTTTCCATTTACCTATCAGATCTGTATTTCCAATATATATTTGTTTAAATTTTTATTTAGAAAAACTATAGTATTAAGGATTATACAGCTATATCAGTATGGATTTTTAAAATCTGAACTTCATGGTTTTGATAAAAATGTCTATACTTTGGCCTATATGTGTCATACTGTCTGCTGCATTTCATAGCTTACAAATATATTATTAATACTATTTGACCACATTTCCTGGAAACCTTAAAGCATTCATTCTTGGCATTATTACATGGCATACCATTGTCCCAAAAGGAATTTTAGCTTTAAAAACAGCAAACTTAAAACTGACAAAGAGTGCATGTAAGTAACAGCAGACTGTTTCTACTTCATCATAGTAGGAAATATTTGAAAAACATCATCATTTAATTCACAATTAATGAGAAGTACATTTGTAAATGCTCCATTGTAAGGATTATTCCAGTATTCAGTATTTTATCATGCTTCTGTCTACAGATCATTCTCACTTTTCATTCTGCCATCCTAATGGCTCAGTCAATTTTCTTTTTCTGTTATGTTCCAGAATGATTCTTGGGGAAAGCAGTATTCATACGCACTCTTCAAAGCTATGAGTCACATGCTGTGCATTGGGTATGGAGCCCAAGCCCCAGTCAGCATGTCTGACCTCTGGATTACCATGCTGAGCATGATCGTCGGGGCCACCTGCTATGCCATGTTTGTCGGCCATGCCACTGCTTTAATCCAGTCTCTGGATTCTTCGAGGCGGCAGTATCAAGAGAAGGTGATTTGTTTTATTTATCTCCAATGTCTTTAACCAGCTAACCTGAACCAGTAGATTGAATTGTGTTCAAGATAACTACACTATCTCCTCTAAATTAAAAAAAAAAAAAAAGAGATAAAATGTTTAAAGTAAAAACACACAATCTTTGATATTTTGAGGTTGCTTTAAGCTAATTATCATATCTTTTGTTTCTCATTTGTCTTTTGAATAATATTTTTTAAAATGTGACTTTGCATCTACAGAAAAAAATAGTTACGTATTTCAAAATGTAAAAAGCTGATAGAATATGTTATCATGGCTCATTTTCTTATCATATTTCAATAGTTAAAATAAACCTTCTCTCGTATGTGTTAGAAAAATGTTAGTTGATTAAGTGGAGACAGGCAGCTATTGTACATGTCCCTCTGTACCCCCCTCATCTATAATCATAATTTATATTACTCCATATGCTTAGCTGAGCATATATTATCCATATATCTAGATAAGTCGCCACACTCTCCAGTCTTAAAACTGGATATAACAACTGCTATGATGTATTCTTATGCTCAGTGTGCTAATTAAAATGATTGCTGCTCTAAACTTTTATCAAAAGAGAGAGAAAAAGTAACTATAGGCAATGATTTGTTCATTGGATTTTTTTTTTTTTTCACATGAAGAATTTCTTTGGCTAGGGCTAAATATAGGGTATTTGGACCGTACTAATATTCTTGACCAAACATCAATAGCTTTCTGAGCGATAAATAAGAATATTTTAAATTAATGGAACAATGTGTAATGTAGGGGCTTTATTGATCCTGACGGAGTCATGCACCTTGCCAAAGAGCATTTCTGAAAGTAATGATTAAAATGGTTCTAGAATATTTCTCTTGGTGAGTGACAACAACTTAGTCTCAGAATTATTTTCAATATGCCAAAGAAGTTTTTAGTTACTGCTTTATTTAGAAGTTTTCAACACTATAATCACCCAATAGGAGAACGGAAACCTAGATATTTCCCTTGAATATAATTACACTGCCACCAGCTATTACAGTGAGCAAGCTGGCATTTTATTACTGAAGTAATGAAAAGATAAACCACAAAAATTGCTTTGAGGTTCATTTTTAAATAGTCTCCCAATGAATTAGAAATAACAACATAGTAAGGAACAAGAGACTGTATACAATGGTGAATTTAAGAATTATATACTTAAAGGAATTTGGGCTAATTTTATGGAGATTTAAGATAAGACTATATCATGTTATATCTGATGTTTCTCTTACACTGTTGTTTTTCTTTCATTTCATGTTGCTTTTAATAAAAATGTCCCTTTCACACCTTTTTTTTTTTTTTTTTTTTTTTTGGTCTGCATCATTGCTATACATTTTCTCAATAAGAAAACAAATCTTCAACTTCCAGGATTGCAGTGATTAGCATTTTATTGCATATTAAATAAGTTCACAAAGTTTATGTTTTTAAATTTCCTATATTAGCCAACTTTAACTTGGAAACTCAATGTATTCACTTATGGAACCATAGATATTTATATGCAAAGATGTTGTGATGTTTGTAATAATTCAAGTCATGAAGTTCTTGATCTTATAAGTGCTTGATAGAGGACAAGAAAACTAGTATAACCCTTTGGTATTTACTGACACTTGGAGCAATGTAATTGGGAACAGCTGATTAAAAGAATATAATTTTTGTTTTGAAATGGAGTCTCTATCACCCAGGCTGGAGTGCAGTGGTGTGATCTCAGCTTACTACAACCTCTGCCTATGGGGTTCAAGTAATTCTCCTGCCTCAATTTCCCAAGTAGTTGGTATTACAGGCACCCACCACCACCCCTAATTTTTTTATTTAAAAGAATAAATTTTTAGGTCTAGAAACCAAGTTCCATCAAGAAGTTTAGTTATAAAGTTCTGTACTCATTTTTTAGTCAGTATAATCCAGGATAGGTCTTAAGGACATTATGTTACTTTTAAAAATTGTACTTTTTGTGAAAAGTGTATGTTTAAATTTCAATTTAGTCTTATACCATGGCTTTACATAGTGGATGAGTGATATGCATCTTCTTTGATGATTTATCCTCTTTGAGTTTTGGCTAAATTATTATCTTTTTATTTAGGTAAAATTCTGGTAGGAGTCACTCTTGGGCAGGACCCAAGATGCAATGCTGGCCCTCCTATATTGTTCAGATGTAGTCCACAGAGAAGTACTCATGCATCCTTCTCCTAGACAATCTGTTAGCACTCCTCTTCCTTCTCGTCCAAACCAATGAGGAGAGTGTATCTAGCCTTCCTTGATGATAGTCAGACTCCGGCGTTCGCAGACTATTTACATGTTTTCAGATATTATTCAGAGTCCAGATCCATGTCTCCCAACCACGTGAGCTTATTTCAAAGATCCTTAAATGAATTTGTTTCAAGTGTTTCCCATATGTCAGGTGTCAGAAAGTAGCCTTTTCACACCCCTATCCCAAAAGGGGTTGTAACGGGACTCACAGCAGAGGAACTTCTCTCTCAAAAGGAATGTGTTAACTAGTTCCATCAGGAAAAATCTCACCTTATCCCCTGATCTCTATTTAGAATTGATAAGACTGAAGCCTCCAGGAATTATGATCCTCAGATCACCATTTACAATTGTTTACCTGCATAGAAGACACCCTCTTACATAAGTAATATTCTGATAGCTCTCAGATTAGCAGCTCAATGAGCACAGGACAGAGTCAGTCCTTACTTAGCATCTTTTTAGACACTTCTGCATCTCATCTAGTCCAAAAGCCTCATCCACAGACATGTCAGTATTATGCATATATAAAAACTATGCCCTGGTCAAATAAGTTCAGAAATGTTGATTGAAACAATGTTACAGAAGTGTTTTTTAGTGTAAATGTGTGTTCCCTGAAGATTTAACATGCCATCTTTGCCCTTCATGCCAAGCCTCCATATATTTTAAGTTACTAATGTCCAAAGGAATTAACCTATAAAGACAAATTCTCCATAATGACCATTCCTTTCTTTTTAAACTGATTTGAGTGATCACTTTCTTTTCTAGATATACTTGCAGTTCATCTAGCCTTCATGAAATGAAACTCCTTTTGATCACCTTGTTTTTTTATATTACTACATCTTAGTTCATACATTTGGGCACTCCTGAGAAGCTATTACTTCTAGTTATGTCACTCTCTCCATTCAAATAACTGTAGTAATAGCAGCTTTATGTGTTCACTTCTTCCTTTACAATGAGCAAGAATTTTGGCACAATAAAAATCATGACTTAAGATTCAGGGATTTGCAACTCACCTTAGTATACTTGATATATATGAAAGACTTTCATTGTGTAAATTAAAACATGAATATAACCAACTTGAATATTACCAAAGAATAACTTTAAATATGTGAGGAGATTATCAATTCCAAATCCCTTTATGGACTGGATAGCTTCCTGAAACTATGAATCAGACTGCATAAATCCAGGGCAGGTGCAAAATGAGCTGTTAAATGGACTGTGCTTTCTAATGGCAGGGCACAAGATACCAAGCCACCAAGACAGTTCTATACCTAGATTCAAATATTGATGATGTTATATAATGTCCAAAGAATGTGCTGAGTCTCAGTTTATCAAGTATATGAAATAAAAACGCTAAACTTCTCCAAAATGACAAATTTATCAAGTTTTGTTAATCTTGGTAAGAGTTTATATGATGCCTTTTTGTTTTGTTTTGTTTTGTTTTGTTTTGAGACAGAGTCTCGCTGTGTTGCCCAGGCTGGAGTGCAGTGGCACAGTCTTGGCTCACTGCAACCTGCGCCTCCCGAGTTCCAGCAATTTCTGGGTAATTTTTGTATTTTTAGTAGAGGCAGGGTTTCACCATGTTGGCCAGGCTGGTCTAGAACTCCTGACCTCAAGTAATCTGCCAACCTTGGCCTCCCAAAGTGCTAGGATTACAGGCATGAGGAACCATGCCTGGCCTATATATGATGCCTATTAGTGGCCTTTTGGAAAAGAAGGTACAGTTTAATGTAAGTACTCTCTCAGCTATACAGAAGAGTAACATGTAATCATTATCCACCTATATAAAATGATACAATTTTATGGAATCATACCAAAAATATAATGTTCTAAACCTGTTTAGCTCAGGCAAATGTTTTTGTTTAATTGCTTAGTTTTAATTAATGATCCATAGATACTTGTTTATTTCTTGTAAATGAAGGCCCATAAACAGAACTGTCACATGAATTTATTCCATAGATATATTTTTAATTTTTTTAAATCAGCCTAATATTTCAAATTTTATAAGCTAATGGTACACCCAGACACAAAAGGTGAGGGACCAAAACCTGCTCTTATCTTCAAGCTATTCAAATCCCATTTGCAATAGAGTTTATTTCAGCTCATTTACAATAAAATAATTATGGTTAAGATATATACTATCTTGGTAATATGCTCTTCAAGAAAAATTTGGTTGTAGGAGGAGTGGCACCAAATCAACTCCTAAGGATCCTTAAATTCTTAAGGATCATTGTTCTCTCAACATACCAAGTGATTCTTACCTGCCACATCCTTCATCCCACCTCCTTAAGTACTTTTGCCCCTTTCACTGTTTACATAGATTCTGCCCTTTCCTTTGGAAGGCTGTGGGAATCTTTCTTGATCATGCCATCATATAGTCATTTGTTTACCGTATTTACTCTCTCTGTCCAGAGAGAGGATAAGCACCATTTACTTCTTTTTATTTTGCTTGAACACAGATCACTTTTTAGAAATGAAATATTCAATCTGCTTTCTCTTCTAGAATTCTGAGATTTATTTCCCTGGGAGCAGGAGGTATATTATCAAAGTACCTCTCATCAGATTTGAAGCCATTTCTTAGTCTTGGGCTAATCACGGGTGTGTTCTGCTTCAGGAGATGATGGAGCCTCCTCTCTCAGAAAGACAGATGGGAGAGTTTGTCATTGTTGTCATGTAATTCCAAGTCTTCAATTTTTTTAAGTTATATGACTAGAATAATGGCTGAGCAAAGA